AACCACATCTCTTGTGCTCGCTTAAGACCATGCAATATTACCATCTACTTAGTTCTAATGATTGTTCTGCCCTTTAGATTGTCCTATAATGTCTTTGCAATTTGTTTAACAATTAACCGCAGTTAACCGCATTACAAACCAAAATCGAATTGATGATGCGAACATGATAAGGAAGGACAGTAGCTAGGGGTGGTCAGGTGGGTAAATAGGATCAGGCTTCTATTTTTTTTTTTTTGTAAAATAGGAGTCTGAGGTGTTGGACAATAGGCACTTATTTGGTTAGTTAAACGTTATCACTTATTTAGTTGCTGATTGTTAAGTCGCTAACCGCAAAACAGCCCATATGGGAAGAGCATAAATAATTTGGTGTGATAGTGAAACTAAGTAGAATGGTGGTGATGTTTTTGAAAATAGCCATTAAGGTGGGACCAATCCATCAAATAAAGTAAAAGCTGTTGCCTGTTATTGTTGTGACCCCCCAACAAGACAAAAACAAAAGAAATTATTAGAAAAGAAAAAGAGAAGAGTTGGAGAAGAACATCAATAAATAAAAAACTGCATACTTTTCTTCGTTTGTTGCGTTGGGTTGTTGCCAATTTGCCATTCTCCCTTCCACTCCACCTCTTGAAAAAAGAAAAGCACACAACCCCTCACCGAGAGTCCGAGACCCAATTCCTCTCTCGCTCCGTCATCTCCTCATAGCCGCCGCCCACTAGCCTTAACCTGTCTCCTCAACCTCCTATTCCGGACCAATTTCGGATTCAGAAGCCTGCTGCTTCTGGGTTCCTCCTCCTGCAGAAAACCAGAGAAAGATATTGATTGTAAGTGAAAGAGCATTATCTCTGACTCTGGAGCTAGACCACCAAATTCAGAGAGAGTGTGAGAGGTAAGAACTTGGTGGCGGGAGTTGTTCCTGGGTTCTGTTTATTTTCCTTTCTTTCGGAAAACAGAGTACAAAGTTCAAAACTTGCAAGGAAAAGGGGTTTCTGGGTTCTCGTGGGGTTTTCCTGTTTTGGGTTGGGCCATTCAAAGATTATCCCAGCAAGAGTTGCAGAAAGATAAGAGGATGTTTGGGTGCGATTGCTTTTACTGGAACCAACAACAACAATCCGTTGACTTTGGCAGTCTTCCTGAGCCACAGCCTTTCTCCTTACCTGCTCCTCTCCCTCGATGGCCTCAAGGTTCCCCTCTTCTCCACTTTACTCTTATCTCAATTATCTGCCTTTAATTTTTATTTTTTGTAATTCGGAATTAGTTGACCATGTTTTTGCCTTGAGTAATTCGATAGGAAAACTGGAAATTTGTCCAAAGTAGCATGCTATTTTAACTTGATGATGTTACTATAGGTCGGGGATTTGGTACTGGGAGAATGAATTTGGGAGAGCTAGAGGTCATCCAAGTGACGAAATTTGAGAGTGCTTGGAGATGCATCCAATTGGGTGGAGGGAAGACACCATTAGGAGTCTCATTCTACAAACCTGCTGGCATCCCTGATGGCTTTCACTCCCTTGGTTACTACTGCCACCCCGATGATGAGCAGCCATTGAGAGGTTATGTCCTAGTTGCTCGCGAAATCAACCACACTCAAGTATCTTCGTTGAATCCTCCACCATTGAGAAAGCCAATCAACTACTCGCTGATTTGGAGCACTGGCTCACACTATGGTGACAATGGCTATTTCTGGCTTCCAAATCCACCGACAGGGTACAAGGCCATGGGAATTGTGGTCACTCACGACTCGGACCAGCCAGATATCGACGAAGTGAGATGTGTTCGAGCAGACCTTACAGAACACTGCGAGACTGGCGATCTCGTGTTCTCCATGGATTCAAAAAGCGGCTCTAACCAGCAATTCCAGATTTGGACCACTAAGCCATGTGAAATGGGAATGCTTGGTAAAGGTGTATCTGTGGGAACATTTTACTGTCGAAGTAGCATTATGAGTTCAGAAGAAGCTCTCATGAGTGTAGCATGCTTGAAGAATCTTGATACGTCCCTAACTGCAATGCCGAACCTGAACCAGGTCCATTCCTTGATTCAACACTATGGCCCTATAATGTACTTCCATCCTGACGAAGATTATCTCCCGTCTTCCGTGCAATGGTTCTTCAAAAATGGAGCACTTCTGTACAAAGATGATTGGAAGAAAGGTCAACCGATCAACTACATGGGGTCAAACTTGCCAAGCGGAGGTGAAAATGATGGTGGATATTGGATAGATTTGCCCATCGACGATGGTGAAAGCAGCAGTTTGAAAAGGGGAAACCTGGAGAGTGCAGAGCTTTATGTTCATGTGAAGCCCGCACTTGGAGGGTCCTTCACCGATGTAGCAATGGGGGTGTTCTGTCCTTTCAACGGACCAGTGACACTCAAGATAGGGCTCGTGAGCATACCGATGTCGAGGCTAGGGCAGCATGTGGGCGACTGGGAGCATGTCACTCTTCGTATCAGCAACTTCACTGGAGAGCTATGGCAAGTGTTTTACTCCGAGCACAGTGGGGGAAGATGGGTAGATGCCTCAGAAGTGGAGTTCATTAAAGGTAGTAATAAACCAATTGTGTATTCTTCGAAGCATGGTCATGCTAGCTTCCCCCACGAGGGTATGTTTCTTCAAGGTTCCACGAAATTTGGAATCGGCGTGAGAAATGATACTGCTCGGAGTGATTACTTTATCGATTCGAGCGTTAAGTATCAGCTTATTGCAGCTGAGTATCTTGGAGGAGAAGTGGTTGAAGAACCGTGCTGGCTGCAGTACATGAGAGAATGGGGTCCAACTGTTGTGTACGATTCACGATCAGAGATCGATAAGATAATCAATATACTGCCCTTTTTTGTTCGGTTTTCAGTAGAGAACCTCATCGAGTTGTTTCCGACGGAGCTTTATGGCGAGGAAGGGCCAACTGGGCCGAAGGAGAAAGACAACTGGGTTGGAGATGAGATATGTTAGCTGCTTTGCTTGCAATACCACACTATGTAGAATACTACATTTGTAAATATAGCATAGGGGAAGTACACCATTAGCATGTGTGATTGTTTGAGAGAGAGAGAGAGACATCTCTGAAGGAATGTGTACTGCTCTCTTTGGTGGAATTTGTTTGTCGTTGTATCATTGAATATTGTATTGTATCAATTTACGGTGCGTTATGGGGCAAGTCCCGATATGTCTTTTTCCCCTTGGGAAGTCCAAAGTTGTTTTGCAGGTCTGCAAGCAAACATGAATACAACCATCAAAATTTGAACGGGAGAACCTAGAAGGATTCATAAAAGATCTGCAAAATATTCAGTTGAAGACTTATTTTATATTGTTACTAAAAAGAAGGCTCGAGACAGGAAATGTGACAAGTAAGAGAAGTAATACTATTTTAAAATAGTATACGTGGTCGACCTTTCAAATAATGAGGTCGACCTCGTCGTCCTAAATAGGTCGACCTAGTCTGTGCAAAGGTCGACCTATATTGTGCAAGTCATAATTGATTTTTTTGTTATTTTCTTGTTTTGCAGTTTGATCGTTATTGACTTTTTTTACGAAAACGTACAACGGGAATATTTTAGTTCGGTTATTAGCAAGAGTAGCTAGGTTTGCTCATCCGTAAGTACCATACTGCTACGACTTTGGTATGAATTGTGCACTATTTCTGTTATGATTTACGATTATTTTGTGGTTGATTGTTGGTTTGTGGGTAGTGGATTTGTGTGCAAGGGCACTAACAATGTATGAAAAATTGAGAATAACCAGTCAAATGCGTGGTATTTGCCAAATATGTTTTCGATAAGAGCCGTAATTTTTATTTATTTGTCCTACCTAGTTATTAATATTGTACCATATCAATTAATGAATTAAAATATGGTGCAGAAAATGGTACGCAGTAACATGAAGACCGAACAAATTCTTAACAAGTTGATGGATGATTGTTTGGTGTATATGCCGAATGTTAGTGCATGTCAGAAGGTTAGTCAATGTCCCTACATCATTAAGCTTTCAAAGTGCATTTGTTTGTTTTCTCATTTTATAACATATTCATTTTCTTTGCTAGATATTTATGTCAATTCTGAACGATGAGGCACGTCATTGGTTTCTGTATCTCGTCAATGTCCAGCCAAAAACCTCATTTCTGCTTGACAGTCTACCATCAACTACTGAGGCGGGTGGTAAGCTTAAATCAAACCACTGCAAGAAAATGGTAAGTATTTCCTATAATTTTCTGACTACTAAGTGTGACGTATACTGCTAGAAGCATATAATATTCGTTATTTGTGTGTAGTTGTCCAAACTGCACGATATTTTCAAACCAGAGCCAATGAGCAATGGAGTTGTACCAAATTTTGGAGATTTCAATATCGATGAGCTACTCGTTCAAAGGAAAAGGAACGTTACCGAGTGTGGTGTGCACGTGATGCAGTGGATGCGCTATGGATCCAAAGATCTGGATAAAGTGGTTAGTATATCATCAACTAAAATACTTGCTTAAATTTGTGTATCTCTAGTTCTAACGAAGTGTTATATGTCATAATGCAGATAGGAGAATAACATAAATTGCCGGGTCGAAAGGAGATTCTATGGTATCTGGCTACACAATTTGGAAACCGTGCACGAGAAAATCTTTTCAAGCATGTAGTAGATGAATGCGTGGAATGAGGCAAAGAGAGAAAGAGTTCAAACAAAAAAGCCAAAAAATGATATTATTCAGTTACAATGTTACATTATTTAGACAATACGTTAAACTTTGATTTGCGAGGTTGATTTATTTTGGATATTCACTATTTTTGGTTTATTTGATTAGTTATATAATGATGGATTTCAAGGAATTTATAGTATGAATCTTTTACTCAAAGAGGTCGACCACAGAATGAAAGAGGTCAACCTCTTAGGCAGAGAACAGGTCGATCTCGTATGTGTAAGATCGACCTCTGATACCTTCACTTAGCTTCTAAACAACGTCGAATATGGATTCTGATCTCTTGATTTAACCTATACAAAAAACAGTCGACCCTACCCAAAAGAGGTTGACCTAGATGGGTCGAATTAGCTTATTGTGTACTTCTCCTTGTCGAATTAGGAGTTTGCGTACTTCTCTTTGTCTAATTAGGATTTTATGTATCATTCACTAATTGGGATAAGTGTTCCCCATGATAGTAAGGATATGGAATTCGTCTATACTCTCCATAAATAGATGGAAGTGATAAGACTTTCATCATACTTCGTTTCATGCAATTTGTTGATGTGAGACTGTAATCTAATTGCTCTTATTGTGATCATGTGTTGGTGGTTGTTTGGTCTTAATCTGGTGGACCTTCTAAATAAGTGGCCGACCTGATTTGCTAAGGTATAGTTTCAACAGTCATGTGTGCTTGTTTACGGTGACTGGATCTTATGGATGGTGACATTGGTGAATGGTGTTTCGACTTGTTTGAGGCAATGTTTCTCCAAAGAGGTGATCAATGATATATATACCATTCCTTTGCCTCGTTTACCAGTGGCTGACAGGTTAGTGTGGGGAGAGGAGCACTCAGTTGTTTATTCCGTTGAATCGGGGTATCATTTGGCAGTGCGGTTAAGCAGGGGGCGACCAGGCTAGAAGGAGGTGTCTTTTTTTTTATTTTTCTTTCTGTAAGAAGGTACGGGGCTTTCATATCCCTCCAAAGTTTACATTATTTGCTTGACAAGCTATGCGGAGGATTTCTACCTACGACGGAGGCGATCATTGAGAAGGGTGGTAATTGCGCTCTGGGGTGCCCGGTTTGCTGGGTGGGTTTGGAAACTATGAAACGTTTGTTTCTTGATTGTCGTGTAGCAGCAAGATTATGGGAGCAATCGGGTCTTGGTCTTCCAAGACCAGCGGACCGGCCTATTAATTTTGCCCTTTTCCGGCGATTTATTGAGAGTGATGATAGTCTGGAGTGGATAATTCTGTTTGTGGCGGTGTTGTGGCGTATTTGAAAATCACGTAATTGGGCTGCTTTTGATCATTTCCAATATGATATCCGAGTTCTTGTGCGTCAATACGAGGAGCAATTGCCAAAGGCGCCGAATGTACCTGCGACTCGAACGATCAAGTTGGAGGTAGGCCATGGCGGGTCATCTTTGCGTTTTTAAGCTGGTTCGCATGCTGCAGATGGGTTGGTCGTCCAGGATACGGTGGGTAACGTTTGGATTGTCAAGGGTTTTTCTTATGCAGGTTTGCAAGATCCATTCCTGGTGGAGTTAGTGGCGTTTCAGGATGCTATTCGGTAGTGCTCTTTGAGGGGTTTCACCGATGTTACGTTCAAGGGAGATGCGAAGACCGTCATTGACAAGATTGGGGAAGTGGATTTGAAGGATGCTCGTGGTGAACAGATTCTTGAGGAAATTCGGCTTCTTCGTCGGCAGTATCGAGCTTCAGCAATGGAGTTTATAGGCGGGACTAACAATTGGGTGGTCCATGAGGTGGCGAGGAAGGCTATTTCTTTGCTTCCTGCTAGTGTGGTGAGTTTTGATTTTAGACATTGGTTTTGGTTTGGTGTATAGACGATGTTATCTATGTTTTCTTGGTAATGCAAGTTTTCTTGGTAATGCAAGTGAGCTATTGACACACAAAAAAAAACTATTATCACATTGATAAACAATTAAGTATATGATCTATAATGTAAAAAGCTTACGTTTGAGATAGTTTGAGTGACGTTATTGAGATAGGATAACTTATGATATGTTCCTAAATATATTGTATGTGTTTTGCTTTAATAAATGTGTATGTTCCTAAATCTATTTGTGATGTTGTGAGGGCTTAGTCTCCAAACTAGGGTTTTTATCTCAATTTTGTAATGTGTTTTCATTCGTCAATTGTAGTCAAACTCATTTAAATTCGTCAATTGGGGCAACTTCCTCCCATTCCAGTAATCTTCTGTATACCTCCCACGGCATGTCTTGCTCTTCTTTTATCAACTTTTTCCTCTTTGTTCTCCTGCAGAAGCGTCTCGTGCTCATGGTAGTTGGCAACACACTTGTAAAAATCATTCAATTTAGCTAGAGCAAGTGTTAGCACCATACTAATTACTAACAAAAGCATCTATAAAAAAAACCATATATTTGCGGATCACTGTCACAAAACAAGATATTAAGTCACATGGGATAAAACCCCATATTTACAAAACCCTAATTATCCCCTCTCCCTCTGTAGATTATATATAATATAGCCACATCATCCCAAAACAGGTCAAAGGTCAATAAGACAAAATTAAGGGCACTGTCTCACCAAGTAAAAGGAACCATGATGTAGAACGCCCCACCTACATTGACCTCTGCAATTGCAATTCCCTATTGTCATCTATGTAAGGCAAATAATTTTTAACGGGAGGAGGAAAGACATCTTCCATACCACCTTTCATCCTCTGCATTCATTCACCTGGCCATTTTGCCATTCTTGTTCACATCTTCCCACTTTATCTCCTTGGCACATTCTCCACACACCGTGGTGCACCCAAACTTGGTTCCCTGACTTGTGAGGGTCAACAAGTGAGCGATGCTCGTGCATTTCCGTTGCGCTGGGCGATTCCGCAGGATGCTCTTGGAGAGTTCTACATGACCTTTTTCAAGCGGCCGAGGTGGTTTTACAGCAGCTGCAGCAACAGATGAGGTGGTTCGCCCATTGGTGGGTTGGGCAGGGGCTGCTTTGGGCGGCAAGGGTGGCTTCTGCTGCTGCTGCTGCGACGTGGTTTCGTCAATTGGAGCGCGCTGTACTTCCTCCCATTCTAGTGATCTTCTGTATACCTCCCACGCCATGTCTTGCTCTTCTTTTGTCAGCTTTTCCTCTTCGTTCTCTTGCAGAAGCGTCTCGTGCTCATGGTAGTTGGCAACCCACCTGAGATATTGAACGTCGGGATGAAGAAAAGTTAGTTTTGGAAATTGACTTAAAGCAGAACAAACGCATTTCTTCTCTAGTTAAAACAAATATTCACGGTAAACCCACATAATATTAAAACTTATTACTAACATCTAAATGCCTAAAATGTAATCACCTTGGATGGTGGTTGCCAAGCAAGGTCTCCATGACCTTGTCAGAAGGGCAACTTCCATTGGAGAGCGACACTTTATGCTTCACCGAACACCCAGGAACTCCTGCCCTTGTGTTCTCTTCATCGTTCTCATTCAAGGTGTCGGGGTTCTCCTCATCCCCAAATTCAAATAGATGCAACATTTCCTCTCTTGAGATGGTCCTGTGTACTTGTTGTCTATCAACAACCCTTGCAGCAAGTCCTTCCTTCGTCACCTGTCGACCATCATCTGGGTTATGGTCAAACTTACTAACAAAAGTACAGCCAATTCAATGCACCACCATATTGCTACCATTACCTGCCGCTTATAGATTTTTTCTTCCATGGTTCCATGTGCCATCAACCTGTAAGCAAATACTGGCTTCTTCTGGCCATACCTATTCAAATTGAAAAGAGATAATCAACTTCACTCGTATGAAATGAAAATGATTCATCCATGCTCTTTACAATGAAAAATCAACCTCCACGCTCGATAAATGGCTTGCAGATCATAGGTAGGATTCCAGGAACCATCAACAATGACCACTCGATTAGCAGCATAAAGATTTATTCCTAGAGACCCAGCTCTTGTGGATATTAGGGTACATTTGACCCTATTATTCTCAGGGTCATTAAACCTTTCTACTAACTTCTGCCTTTCAGCACTCTCGGTTCTCCCATCTAGCCTGTTTGACAACACAGAAGTCGGGTGAAAGAGTTAACAGACCAAAAGACAATATGGGCAGTTGAGAAATAATTTTATGGAACAAAGTATTACACCATAGTAGACCCACCTGTACCAGTCCTTTCCTTTTCTCCAGGATTTTCCAAGCTTCCCATGTCGAGGTAGCCTTGAAAGATAGAATTCAATAAGATCCAGCGTCGGTATGCTCTGACTAAAAATCAATACTTTATCCCCAACACAGGAACACATGGTAAGAATTTCAAGCAGCAGAACCATTTTCCCCCCAAAATTAGCATCTTTGTAATCATCTTTGGATAGAAGCTCATTCCACCAACCCTGCATTCAAGATTAATTAGGTATTTACAAATCAGAAATTCAGGGGATTATAAGACTATCATCCATAATATTCTGAATGCTTATAAACAGAACAAGTTTATATAAACCCGGATATTGTGTGACCTTGTTCACTTAAGAAGTGGTTGCACCACAGCAAAATACAGAAGCTAGACCAAAGGAAACGTCTAAAAGGCATGCTCATGTAAGTAGCTAGCACTTGTACCTTCACAAGAAATCCATGAGAACTTTTTCCTTGCAGATTACCATTGCCATTTCTTGGCTTTTCTGTCAAGCAATAAGTAGCATCCTTAAGCATAGAAACAAAGGGAAAAGAGAGAAAAAGCTGCCTGGAAAGATACCGTGCTTCTCACAGATTGTCTGGTATGCCTCGCGTGATTAAACTTTTCCGAAGACAATAAACTGGTGAGTACAGCATAGAAAGTGAGGACAAAGCTATACCTCCAAGAATGTTGTTGTAATCCACATTTTCATCACTTGAGTTGTCATCGTTCTCGATAACATCCTCATGGCTGACATAATCTCTGTCTTTCCTCAATTGCAAGATCCCAGGATGATTCCATATCTACTCAGAGCAATGAAGGAATGATGTAAATACCGCAGCCATACCACATTGAGGAGTAAGGGAGACTTCTATAGCAGGTTTATGACCATGAGATTAATAAGGAGAACCACAGCAACACTGAGAGAAAAAGGGGTCCAGGGTTGAGCTTCTTTGCCCCCCTTTTCTGTGCAATATACTAGTCCTCCACTCTAGAATCTGTTTGGTTTGTTGTATTGAAAAACAAATGTTATTTTTCCCAATTAAATATTAATTATTCTTCTATTATCAGTGATGTATTCATAAGAAGCATTGTTTAGTGTAGTTTTTGTGTGGAAAACCTGTGCCTGAGAAAAATAAATAGAACTTCTTGTACCCACTTCTCATAGAGTGGAATCATAAAATAACTCCTATCATCGCATATCACATTCATGTACTGGCAATTAAATAACTTTATACGTAAGCAGACATGTAATCTCCAGTTACACTCAAATACAAGACATGTCCACAGAAGAAGGTATATATATCTGTTCATCTTTGACAAACAAAAAAAAGGTATATCTGTTCAGCAATTTTGGTAGTTATTGTCTGTTTATTCCACTAAATGTTGCAAACAACACTCTCATATACACGCAACCAAACAAACCTAGATATCATACAGTATTACTGCAATGTAAGTATTAGAGATATCCAATAAATAACTCATGTAACGTAGAGAAATGAAATAGTAAGCTGGTGCCCAATAAAATCAATCTTTTGAGTTATGTCTTGCATTAAACTTAAATCAATTATACAAAGGAAGATCGTGAGAACAGGTTGAACATTACAAAAGAATGTTTTGGCATCATAATGTGATTAATTATCAAGTAGTTACAAGCAAACAGCAAAACACACAAGGGACATAGAAGGAAGTGAGCAGACAAGTACACCATGGTCACGGACACTAAACTAGACTCTTCTTCGAATATATGATGTTTCAATATTAAGAACATCACCGGAATCAACTGTAAAATATGACATCTGCAATGACTGAGCATCTTGAATTCATTAAAAGAGAAGAAAAGTAATCGATTGAACTGTGAAACTATGAAAGTAAAAACCAACCTGAGCCAAAGCTTGGTATCCAGCAAAGAAGCTCTTCTTTGTCTTTTCATTGTAAATGCTATCACTTGCGAAACCATGCACCTCAAGGAACTTCTTGTATAACCTCCTCTGCAATGGTGACAGCTTTACAGCTATCACAAAGACAGTTTTAGGGGGCAGATCTTTCTTAACCACATCCATGTCCATTCTTTGAACAAATCCTTTAAGCTGTTCGTAAAGGATATGTGACCGCTGGTTCATAATTTTTACGTCATCGGAGGTTGAATTGGTATGCTGTCCATTCTCTATAGGATTTTGGAAGCTGCAAGCAATGAAAGAATCATAGATATACAAAAAGTGAAAGTAAGTTCCAATAAGAAAGACAGTAAGATAGGGTCCTATTGGTAACTTACCGGTTTCTGAACTCATGGCTGCTTCCAAGGAAACCTTCTCTCACAAAGTCAACCATCTGTGTCAGGTTTAATTTGAAGTAAGAACTCTGAGGAGTGCATAAGTTAAACAGATATTTTCCTCAGTTTCTCCACTTACACAGTAATACTCCATTAGATTGTTCTGAAGAGGTGATCCAGTTAGTGCAATCCTTCGCTGGCATTTTACAAGCTTCAACGCTTGAGTTGTATCAGCTCTAGCATTCTTTATCATGTGGGCTTCATCACAAACAAGTATATCAGGTCCCTCCTGATAATGAAAAGAAGAGTCCTTGAGACTTACTAAGGATTCTATGATGATCCTGGACTAGTTCCCCAGATGCAAAGAAGCATGTGAAATTGTCACAGTAATTAAAAATATTTGTTCACTAAATTGGATGAAAGAAAAAAGAAATATCTACAGTAGCGTCAATGAGCAGAACGGGTACATTTTCCCCAAGTTCAAGCAAAGATACATAACATCCTGCACGGACTGAGCCACGTGTAGGCTTAAGACTCTAAAATCCAAGTATTGCCGTCAAAGAGATGCTAAAGGATAGTATATAACCTGTAACGCACAGGCCATCTCTCTGGCAGTGTTGAGATCCTTCACATGCCTTCCAAAGGACAAGTTCCGGAAAGCAGTGTAGCCGATCAAGAAAACACCACCCTTAACTCTCCACTTTGCAAGCAATTCTCCTCTTCTTTCTCTAGAGTCACAAAAAAGAAACACTTCTCATGAGCTTATTTAGCACAACCATTTTATAGATTAATAGGTTAATATGACTGTAGAAAAGTTTATTAGGTTCCATCAAAAACGCATGTAAAGATCAAGACTCTGCATTTCACTGTGCTGGGGGGGAAAAATTAGCAACACTTTGGTGCCAGAAAGTTGTCATTATCTGTACCGTAATTTGCAATGCCAGTACTTTTTAATCCGAAAGGTATCTTATGAAGATTACATTTACAGGAAAAAGTTTCTCATATAAGCTACAGAATTCAGATTGTTAAAGAGGAACTCGGTCTTTGTACGATAACATCAAATTTCCAATACCAAAATAAGCGAATATTAATCTTGATTAAAGTCGTGAGGCAAAAAGTATTGGTTAAACCTCGATACATCTTCCAACATGAAAACACGGAGGGCTTTAACTTCAGAAGGCTTCCACTTCATGAACTCCTTACGCCAGTTATGAAGCACATTGACAGGAGTAACAATAAGGGCAGTTTTCAGTCCCAAATCAACAATCCTCATAGCAGTGTATAGGAAAGCAATAACCTGCAGAGATCAAATAAAAGTTCAGGTACCATATTCCATAAAAGATATGAGTAAAACTGTAAAGTAAATGTTCAAACTGCAGGGATCTGTAACCCTGCTTAATTCACAAATTCCATTTTACTTCCCTTGTAACGAAAGATTAATTTACTGGGAAAAGAAATATCCTTAAGAAACTAAGATGATACAAGTTAAACCATCCATAAGCAGCCAGCACAAAGTTGATTCGCTATAAGGCCACCACAAGCACTAATGTACCAGCAGTATTTTCACTGCTGATTCAATTAATAAGCCCATGAACCACAGTCATATACCACAATCATATAGCAAACTAACAAGTTAGTCTGAAGAAAAAACCTGCAAGCTAATGTTTACCTGGAAAGTCTTACCAAGGCCCATTGTATGAGCTAAAATACAACCCAGACCCTTGTCACCAGACTTCACCCGTCCAATTGATTGTATAATATTTTCCCACATAAACCTTATCCCAGCAACCTGCAAAAACAAAAGTACTCAAAACTAGCACAAGAAACACCCTCCCCCTGCTACAAGAGAAGAAACAGCTAGGTAGAAATTTATATATTTCATGAGATGGACTCTCTTCCATGTCCAAGCCTCTCAGACTTGGCACTTGCACCGCCAAAAGTGATTTAAGTGTTAACTATTTCAAACCCAAATGTCAAAGTCCAAGTTCCAGCAACGTGGCAGCACAAGCTGGATTATTGAATACTCTTACAGCCCAATCACAGAACAAAAGAGAAAGAAGTGCAGGTGGCTCCAATTAGAAAGATGCAAAGAAGAGTAAACCTGATGAACTTTCAATTTGCCTGCAATGCTTGGAGGAATCCTAACAGCTTCTTCACCTTTTTCCCTAACAACATTCACCACATATCCAGTTGTAGCATCACCAAGAACTTCCACACTGGCACCTTCAGGTAGAGTTCCATGCAGTGTTGTAGAACTCATCACAGAGGACTTGTCAGAGAACTGCACTTTTAGAGACTTCAAATGCTCTTGGCGCTCCTACAAAACAAACCAAGATTACAATGAAAACACTGATGATACAAAGATTTGAATGATAGGGCCAATTACAAATCAAAGAACCTTTTCTATTGCAATCTTCCTCTTTGTCTCTTCTCCAAGTTCAGCATCATCCAAGATCCTTCGAATCACTTTTTTCTTCCTTCTCTTAGAACTAGTAAAACAATGAAACAACAGACACTTACGTCAGAGCATGAATCAATCAAACAGAAGCAGAAGCTAGGAAACCAAACTGTAAGATAGATCTTGCAATTGCACATTGTTCACAGAAAATATCAATTACTGAACAAATTCAGGGAAACAACATAACGCAACTTCAGAGCAATAAATCAACCTGATTTTAACACCAATATCAGCATCTGAGTTCTCTGAATCGCTATCAGAGCTTGTGACCATAGAATCAACAGACCCAATGGCTTTCTCCAGTTCACTTGTCAATCTATCGAGCAAACTTGGAGAGCAGCAGCAACACAGCCACCCAGAAGCTAGGGAGTCCATACGACACACGTCACTGATATTCCTAGTTATACAATATTTACAGAAGAGTAACTTGCATGAGTTGCAGCTGACTAAGTCCTTGCTTTTTCCGCACCATCCACAATAGCACTCAGGACCCTACAAAACCCCAGGATCACGAAAAGTCAAAAAATGTGGGGAAGGCAATTAAAAAAACAGATCATCACTTGCCTCATTGGTTAGGAACTATGATTGCATCAGATTATCAAAACAGACGTGATAAATCCAATATGTTCCAGCATGAGAAGTGCACCAAATATTCCAGCACCAACACAAGTTTCTGATACTTCAGTTTACACATTATTAGTGCATACCTTCAGGCGCAACTTTTCTTCAACCAAGTACTTGCACTCCCTGCAAACAATCACTCTCAACAGCGGGTGTGAGAGTATTTCAGGAGTAATGTTATCACAAGCAGTACAAGAATACCTCTGATCCAGAGCCTCTGAAAGATTATTATCAGCAGTAGCATCATTTGCATTATTTTGTACAGCTGATCGATCCTCTACTTTAATTGCATCACTGACCAAATCGCCCTTCACAACATTCATGTCATCATCACTACCAAACCCAGCCCTAATCTTCTTATGACTTATGTTTAGATCATCATCCTCATTTGAGCGCTTAGCCCTGATAGTTTCAGAGGCATCAGAGGCAGATATGGAGGAAACCGACTTTCCGATGCTTGAGAATTGCTCCCTGTCAAAATTTTCCAAAGCTTTGGAACCTTCTAAAATTTCTTTCTTCTGGTGTGATGTATCATGAAGATTGCTGCCCACACACTGTACATGTTCTTCAATTTTTACGTCAGAAGAATCATCCATAGGCATCAGCTCATCAGTAAATACACTCTGACTCTGTGAGAAGGAGCATAGAAAATTTACTAACGAGTAAGTAATTATAGGAGAAAATAAAATAGTTTCAGAGATATGTTCGAAGAACATATAGTGATTCAATGTAGACATTAAGGCATGCAGTCCGGTAGCAGTCACCAACACTGTTATTCCTTCAAGTGTACAGTAAAGGACAAGCTTTTCAAACACACATAAAGAATACACCTAAGTTCCAGAAGTTCTTTACTCGCATTTATAGGTAACTCAGGCACGTAGCCCTGCTTCCCCTAATATGCAGGTCACTTCTCTCAATAGTAGCAAATGGACTAAGTTGTACAATATGTACCAAAATACCAGCTAAATACATCACCACAGAGCTAGACAGGTAGGTGTCACTGACTGAAAGAGCATGAAGATTAGTAATGTGCACCTCTTTCTGTCTCATACGATATCTCCTCTTCTTCAAGTGACGTTGCAGTTTCTGATCTTCAATCTTTGCATCGTCAACTTCTTTGACCTTCCAATGTGTTTAAGAAAATACATTGCAACATTCTTAGAAACATAGGCATGTCAGAACCCCATATTTGTAGGCTACTACTCATCTTTCGCCATCCAATAAAAACAAAATAAGAAATTGGGAGCGCAAGAGATCGCTGCACTCAAACAGACTCTTAAGACAGTGTTGCGAGGGAAAACTAGGAAACAAGGAAAAAGTATCTGTCAACAACTAAACTAGTATACCCACAGGATGCCAGGCTAACATTATTATGGACTTTTCCTTTCACACTTATAAAAAGTAGTAAGTTCCTAGTGCCATTTCCATGGTAACTAGTATATTAAAAGACGAGCCGGAAAATAGATAAGAGCAAACCAACAGATACTGGTATTTCACTAGTCAGAAGACCAATCAAAAACTGTTTTACTTGGTATGAAAGCTCATTTTGTATTAGTCACGTCCAATGCTCATCAAGCAGCAGGAACATAGCAACCAGCAAGTTGCTGGTCAACATGACAGGTACTACATCAAATACAACATAAGACACCATCACAAATATGTGAACAAGGCCAAACAGAAAAATTTAGAAGCCAAAATTTCAACTAAACCTAACACATATTCTACCAATCACAAAAAAAAAAAAAAAAAAAAAAAATCATGCACAGAGGCCTAGCTCCAATGAGACCTTGTTTAAAACCTTGGACATTATATAAAAGAGTAACACAACAACCATGATAAATTTACAGCAACAAGACATCTTGTCTCACCTTCTTATAATTCTTCCGCTGTTCTTCAGACAGCGGTAACTCCATTTCGTTAGCTATGGCAACTGCTACAAATGGATCACCGGAATCACCATCAATTTCCTGTATCTCTTCAACCTGACAAACAAACCATCTCAACGACTTAGCACCAATAACAACATGATGGTACTTATTCCAGCAGGCATGCAAGAAAAGAATTATCCTTTCTTTCAACATATTTATCAACATTCTTCAAACTCCAACCCCTAGTCTGTACAGAACCTAATCAGCCACAATCACTCACAAACAATATGACCACAAAGAGCCAGTCACTAACAACCACCAGCGCCAGCTAACAATGGCTAATGACTAATGACCGTCAGCCATTTGCAAGTCACTCACAATAACAATCTGCTCAATTAAAACAGAAATATCATTAATCAAAATGAACACTGGATCAAGAAGTAAAGTCACCTCATCAACCCCAGGAAATTTGAGGCCCATCATAGAAGCCTCCTTAGGTGTGTTTGCCAGATAAACAGAAGCCCAATGGTCACTTCCAAATGAGGTACCACCATCGGGCATATTACCAGAAAATAGTTTGTTAACAGTGACCCAATCCAAATCTCCATTTTCAGCTACAAAATCCTTTTTCCGGTCAATATTACCCAGTTTTTTCTGCATAAACCCACTAGCTCCCTCCTCCAAGAGTTTGCCATGATGTCTGAAAAAGCAGGACACAGAAACTATCATTGAGCAGCCCGACAGAATATCTCCCACAGATTTCATATAAACTAGAAAAGAAAGCCAAACAGAATTGAATGTGACAACTCGAAACAGGGTATAAAATACCTTTTCACGGGCCTCACGGTCTGAAGGTACTTCTCAGCATCAGCTATAGATGACTTTACCTCAGTGGTTACATGAGATCCCACCCAGTGCGCCCTCTTCTTCCAAGCTTCTGTGCAGCATACATCAGGAGCTTGACTTTCTATCAACTTGTAAAGGCTTGGTAGCTCAATACCAGCCCCATCCAGTTGTTCCTGGCCAAAAAATAAGGAATTTTCAGAAAGGAGACTGTCTACTGGATATCATGTTTGGTTATTATATGTGTTTACTTTCTTTGCTCAGCAAACTTTGTTTTCTCTGTATTTCTAATGAATGCCTCAACATAAGTTGATTAGTTAAGCACGAGTTATAGGTTCTTAACTGACAGTGGTAATCACTGAATAAGCAGTCCCATTCATAAAACATGAGACCAAGACTTGCATCTTTAGCACCAGAATCTAGAGCCACGCAAATCCTTTGCCCGATTTTATGGGCTGATAGATTAGTTCAAAGTTGATTATACATTTTAAGTGATACATGCAGAGCAAGACATATTCGGAACTCCTACTTCAGAATGCAAGACCCAAGAGCAAGAGAAGGCAAAAGAAGCAGCATAATTTTACTGATAAAAACTCGAATCTGATGAAAAGTGAAATACGTAATTGCTGGGTGCTGAGCAGTTGCGCACTTGTTCGTTAGTTTAATTAAAATAGCCAGCTGCATGGTTAGGTAGAATTGTTATGTGCCAAACATGTAAGGAAGAATCAGAAGGCCTTGCGTCGTAGATATAGCTCACACAAACATAGAATTAGGTGGTCTTAAGTTGTACGTACCTCACCCAAGTGTAGTTATTAAGCTAAGTTCTAGAAAATTGTTATTTGACGGCCTACAAAATATCAATTTATAAATACCACCTTATTCATGATAATTTGTTTCCAAATCTAGCACTACCAGTTATAGTCAATTTCAGAAAGCTCATTCATTTCACGATTACGAATACAAATATCTAACATCTCATCATCCATCAAGTCAACTATTACAACACCAGACTGAACACTCTTTTTTTTCCTTTCTCTAAAACTTAATTTAAGGCTCTAAACATTTAGAAAAGATCAAGCGCCAGAAATAATGAGGCTCAATCTGTGCCAAAGGAGGACGTATAACTTTACAGCAGCTCAAGGACCGTTTTAAGGATCCATTTTAAGATCCACTGCCAACATGCATTCAGTTGGTAAAATGTGCAACAGGAAGTTTAAAATATACGCAATTAAAAAGGATGAAAAGCAGACCAACAAATGGGCACTCTCAGTCTCAAGTTCATCAAGAACAGCTTCCCATTCTTCCTTCAAAGTAGTCATCTCATCTTGCACGGTAGCCTCTAGCTGTCAAAATGAAAAAAGAATAAATGATAGAAAAGAGAAATCCCAACATCCACAGAGATGGCATAAAAAACTCACATCATCGCCCTGAAGAGTTTGTGCCAACTCCTCTCTTACTTCATTCTCCACCTTAACAAGACTCTCCTTTTCGAGTGCTTCTTGAGCCTCTGCAGCCTGAAATGAGCATCACTTGCAGGCTTTGCAACAAGGGGTATCAAACTTAGATGTTAAGTTGAGGGAAATGACAATACCTTACTCTCAACTTCCAGGAACTCAGAGATCAGCTCTTGGGTTTCTTGTTCAGTTAGAGGTTCCTATGCGCAACAGAAAATAAAAACAGAAGAACAAGTATTTATGTGATAGATGCCTAACGAAGGACCTCCAATTTAGAACTCAGGCGATAAAATGAAGTTGTACACCACTTAATGCATGAACTATTGTATATCCTAAATGAGTCCACTTTTAACCCAAGTTTAGTTGTGAGGTAAGGATTTGAGCATAATTAGCACAAACTTACAGCAATTGCACAGCCTAATAGTCTCTAGTGCTGTAGACATCATCATCAATCCTGCTTTCTACCTTCATCACAAATAACATTGCTTACTAAATACTAGCTTATATGGTTGTTGACTGCAGAACAAAAAAATATTCCATCGTTCCTAGCCCGTTGTTTGATCTGGACATTCCATGAAACTTTGAAATTGGTGGCTCACATCAATACTTGATTAGTGGTGAACTCCTTTCTGTGCTTTCTCTTATAAGAGAAAGAAAAGGGGGCATGTGGAATGAAACTTTGATACTGTCTCTGTTTAGTAGATCAAGCCAACTTGGTTAGGCGTATGCCAGATAGTTTTCAGTGAAGTTTAAATATGTTTTTGGGCTTCAGAATAAGACCTATATAAACTCAATACCATAAAGATGATAATTTAAATAGAAAAAGTGACTTAAGAACTATCTATAGCAACTTGCCTCGTGATATAAATCATCATCCTGTCCAGATGTTGATGGTTCATCATCATCTGAATCACCAACGGAAGAGCCATCAGAAGCCCTTTCAATATCTTCGTAGTCCTCATGCTTCTCTTCCATCTCCATCTATGGCGTGTCTAGACTAAAGGGCATAGCAGTCTTAAAAGACCCTATAAGAGTCAATTCAGGGTATCAACATTGCATGCCTACCATCATCTAAAGTAAAACCAGATATCAAGTCTATGAATGAAAGATATAAACTCAAAATTAAAAAAAAAAACAATTTGAGTGAAGCACATATTACGAACCATATACTCCCCGTAATAACCAGTATATTCTTCTATATCACATTAAGACTGTCACTAGTTTGTTTAATTTTAAATTTCATAGAGGAAATGCTTTCCAGTTTCCGGTTATAGTTTTACAATAATGCAACGGCACAGAAAATTGTGCAGAGGAGAGCATTTATATCAATTGATCAAAGGGTAAACTACAAAAGCATTCTGTGATTAAAAAAAAAATCAGGACATATCAATTTAAATGTGCTCAAGTCAACTTTTCACCATACAGTTTGTTTATCATCAACATGGACGGCCATAGTTAAGCATAACCAGTGTGATTGCTGATCAATGTGCTACATTCAAAATTATCCCCATGAAACCCTGCTAGTATAAGCCATAATTCCATGTCTTTAGATCGTTACAAGCTACAAGGTATTGGATACACTTAAGCCAGGGCAACTTTAAACACCCTAAACCAAAAAGCACCTGCTCAGTGCTTACAGATCTCAACCCCCGCCGCAAACAGACTAGTTGAGCACTAAAACTTGTAAAACCAGTTAAATATAGTTGAAGAGAAAAACGGTCCTCATGAAGAAACAAAATTACCTAATAACTAAAAAGTATAATCAAGCAAATTCAGAACATTGAAGTAGCAATTGAAAGTGCCTTTCCACTTCCCACAAAGGAATCAAACCCTAAGTAATTGCTCCTAGCTCTATTACTCTCTAGATTCCTGATTTCCTCCTCAAGCAAATCACCAAATTAAGTAAACCGGTGAGCCTCTCCAACCAGCCGCACCACTGAAAACTAGAGAGTAGAAGCATAAGACCGGCACTTGCAAAGGACGATTATTGAAACGTCGCCGGTGAGCAGTTCCAGACAGATAAATTCAACTAAGTAGAACTCCGGCAGTTCAAACAACCAAGATTACAGGAAGCAAACAACTCGCAGAAGTTCCTCAAGTCAATGAAGAACGACGAGCTCCAGAACTGAGAGGGATGAGAGCAGGAGCTGGTTACTCACCGTCGGGAGAGAGATGCTAGGATGCTTGGGGAAGATGAATCGGCTCTGGGTTTTTGGTAAAGAGAGGAGGGAAAATAGAAAATAGAAAATAGACGGAAAAGGTAAGAAAAAGCCTCTCTGTGACTGTGTAGTTGTACCCGCTGGCAAAACAAAAAATAAAGTTCGAGGAAATTAGACGTTTTATATTAAAATATTTTTTGAATTTGAAATCAATATCAATTATCAAATCAAATTGCTGTAATATATCATTCCAAGGAAAAGAAAATTATGTTGTAAAATTGTGGGACAATGACATAAATATTGTTTTTTTTTTTAAATTTACCACGAATATGGCCAATTAATAACTATTGACAAAGATATTGTGTTTTATACATCAGAATCGGCGGGTACACCTGAGACTCAGGCGCCGCCGCTTAAGACTTGGTTTTTGGACCGTTTTATTAGACTCAGGCGGTGGCGCCCGAGTCTCAGGCGGCGGCGCCCGAGACTGAAGCGAGTAGGTGGGAAATTAAGACTCCGGCGGTGGCGCCCGAGACTGAGGCGAGTAGGTGGATTGGCCACCCACCCTATAAAACCCAGACAGACTTTTCGTTTCAGATTCACACCACAAAAAAAATCGTCCAAAATAGAGGAGAGAGCTCTGGTTGCTGCTGCAAAAATGGCTAGGTAAGAGACACATTTATTTTTGTAATTATATTATTCAAATGCTATTATGATTGTGTTTAGTTTTTAATTAGTGAGTTTGTTTTTTTTAGTGATTTTAGAAGATTTGAACTAGTTGTTCGGTGGAAATCGGAGAAAGTAGAGGATAATTTGGGTGTCAAATTCGTTGGTGGTAGTAGTTTTCAGTTGACGGTTCCATCCAGAGTCACATATCACAAACTTTGTGAGACTCTAATTCCGAGAATACGGCGCAGAGACGAAGCAGTAAAAGATAGTGATGTGATCACAGGTTTCACTTACCGTCTTCCAGAATGGCAGAATGATGTTTTATTTCATTATGCGTTACCTATTGTGGATGATGATAGCTTGGATGTGCTTTGGAATTTTATGGCACAAAATCCTTATTGTTTGGGTGCTGAGATACATGTTGAGCTCAGTGATGATCAGGGTGGAGAGGAAGAAGATGATACATGGAGCGTGCCATCCGATCATGACTATGATCACGGTGATGACGGAGAGGAGGAAGATGAGGAGGAGGAGGAGGAGGAGGAGGAGGAGGAGGAAGGAGAGCAACTTAATTATCCTCCATATTTTTACTTGCAGGGCAATGAAGATGACGAAGAATTTGCACTTGCTGATTCATATGGCGTAATTCCAATGCCTATTGTTGATAGTTTTGAAGGAGAATTCTACAAGGGGCAGATATTTCACTCGAAACAAGCTGCATAGATGGCGATTAAACACCATGCACTACAACGCAACTTTCTATATGGCGTGGTGGAGTCGTCACCTTCAATATGGAAGGTCAGATGTTTGAGGCACAAGGATGACAATTGTCCTTGGATGGTGCGGTTTGGATGTCGAGATGTTGGGGGCGAATGGACTGTGAGAAAAGCTGAGTTGGTGCATTCTTGTAGCAGTACGACTCAACCGACGGATCATCGCCATCTTGATGTCGACATGATATCTGAGGCCGTCAAACATTTGGTACGTGCCCAACCAAATCTGAGTGTTCTAACTGTTCAAGCCGAGTTGAAAGATAAGTTTAATATGCAAGTTACTTACAAGAAGGCTTGGTATGGGAAACAAAGAGCATTGGAGAAGTTGCATGGAAATTGGGAAGAATCCTACGATTTTTTGCAAACATTCTTGCGGGTGGTCAAGAGAAAAATGCCAACATCGGTGATTGATTGGGTAACAGTTCCTTCGACTCAACCTGGTCATTTAATATTTCAGCGAGTATTCTGGGCTTATGGACCTTGTATAGATGGATTCAAGAATTGTCCAGGCGTCATGGTTGTGGATGGAACATCTCTTACTGGGAAGTGTAAAGGAGTGCTACTCATGGCGAGCTCATTTGATGGCCGGAGGAAGATTTTTCCAATTCCATTTGCCATAGTGGAGAGCGAGAATACTGAGAGTTGGCCATGGTTCATGAGGAAGGTTCAGGGTTTGACTGATCGAAATGATGTATGCATCATCTCAGATAGACATGCAGGACTCTATGAAGCCATGAATAACATCGGAAGAGGTTGGGAGTGGAGGTGGTGCATGCGACACTATGCAAGCAATTTGCAAAGGAAGACTCGAAGCAAAATTATGTATAATCAACTATTTCGAGTCGGTAAGCTTTCTTCATTTAATTTTGTTATTTGTTTTCATGTAATTTTGTCATGAATTTATCTAACACGTGTTGTGGTTTATTTTGTTAGCCGGAGAAAAACGGTTGGAGAAGTTTGATCGTCAAGTTGAGCAATTTAAGAAGGTGGCCGCTGATAGAAATATTTCATGTGATAACTGGGTGGATCAACATCAGATTCGTTGGAGTTTAGCACATGATAACTACAATGGTGGGGGTCGTTGGTCTATCCTGACATCCAACATGGCAGAAAGCGTCAATGGTGTTTTCAAAGGTATTCGTGCACTTCCGATAGCTTCTCTTGTACAGCATACCTATTGGCGATTGTGGAGAAATTCGATATGTATAGGTTGGAGACAGGAGCAGAAATTAGAAGTGGCGGTTCACAGTACTCCACCAAGTGCGAAGAGCTGATGAAGTACAGGTCACAAAAGGCAATTGGACATTCTGTGACAGCTCTTGATCGAGGTCAAGGCATCTATGTAGTTCAGACTCCTCCCAACAATTTCAACATGACAGGGTCAAACACACTCACAGTTCACTTTGACGATCAAAACCGGGCAGGATTTTGCACTTGTGGTAAATTTCAAGGAAATAAAATTCCTTGCTCTCATGCCATTGCAGCTTGCAACCGAATGGGGGCTAATGCGTATAGGTTTGTCAACAATGTCTACAAGCTGGAAACAGTGATGGCTTGTTATGGGACAAGTTTCGCACCTCTTGGTGAACCTAAGGGTTGGAAGAAACATAATGGTCCTATTCTCCATCCTAATGTGCACATGATTAGGAAGCCGGGGAGGCCACGAGTTACAAGGATCCACAACGAGATGGACTGGCCAAGGGAGGGTGCATCACACCAAGTGTGCAGCAACTGTAACCAAGCGGGACATAATGCATCAACTTGCGGCGGCCAAGCTAGTAGGAGTGGGAGCAACCGAGGAGGGAGTGGTGGCCAACGAAGTACGAGAGGTGGTAGAAGAGGAAGTAGAGGTAATAGACGTGGCTGAGAGGTGGTAGAAGTTGTTATATTTCTTTTGATTTACCATGTAAAAGTTGTTGTTTGTTTGAGATGTTGTTGTTTGGTATGTTGTTGTTATCTTTTGATTTACCATGTAAAAGTTGTTTGTTTGAGATGTTGTTTGTTTGAGATGTTGTTGTTTGAGATGTTGTTGTTTGTTTATAGTACATAATAATAACAATCCAAAAATAATAGTCTAAATATAGTACATAATAATAACAATCCAAAAATAATAGTCTAAATGAAGTACATAATAATAACAATCCAAAAATAATAGTCTGAAGGAAGTACATAATAATAACAATCCAAAAATAAACGTCTGAAGGAAGTACATAATAATAATAGTCTCACTGACGATCACCACGACGACCACCACGACGACCACCATGCTCCACCGCTAGATGGCCGCCAGTACCACACCTAGCAGGCACCCTGATGCGCACAGGTCTACCATCATACTCCTGGGGCTCATCTTCCTCAACTCCACCATCTTGATCCTATG